ATCAAGCCAATCACCCCTTTAATGCATTGGTCCGTTGGAGCCTTCTTTGGCACTATAAAAAGGGGTGTTTGGGTCTGCTTTTCTCACCAATTCACTTCACAACATCTATACTTTCATTGCATTCAAATATCATCATTTTCCATAGCTTTCTAGAGCCACTTGTGTGAAGGTTGAGTTGTTCTTGAGCGTACTTAGTTTATTCATAATCTACTCTATAAGAGAGTCTCGTTCTTGAGTGTACTTGTGTTCTTAGACACGTTGAGAGATAGTTTCCCTCTCGGTTGATTCAAAGGAAGGTCTGTTTCCTTTGAAGGATTCGCTGAGGTTCGTGTGACTCGAACTCTCAAGTTGTAACGGTTTATTAAGCACCCGTAAGCTTAACGAGTTAGTAGTGTAGCTCGAGAGAGTCTCTCGGGAGGCTGGATTAGCCTCAAGTTGTGGTGAACCAGGGTAAAATTCGGTGTGCCTCTTACTCTTCTCTTTACTTCTCTTTTAAATTTTTAATTCCTGCGATTTCTCCGATCAAACGCTATTCACCCCCCCTCTAGCGTTGGTCTTTTATTCTAACACAAATGGAAGGCCATTGGAATCATGCTGAACACGGACATGGCTGTTGGAAAGGGAATCATGGTGGGAGGAGCAATCCTATGCTCAGAAGAGGGTCGTTTCCTCGGCGGAAAGACTTGCAAACTCCGGGAAACAGCTAGTGTGGTGGATGGAGAACTGGAAGCTGGGCTCATGGGCCTTTCATGGGCCACAACAAACGTGAAGGGGGGCCTCAACCTACACCTAGACTCCACTAATGCAGTCAAGAGAATCAAAGAAGCCCACAAAAACGACCCAATTAGTCAAGATATCAAGACTAAACTTCAACAAATTCAAGGAAGTGCAAAACATGTCTATCGGGAAGAAAACACAGCAGCACATAACTTAGCACAATTTGCTCTTGCAAACAATAAATTTTCAATCTACAATTCCCTCTCATCACTGCCCAAATCTGTCAAAGGGGCCATTAAGTGTGACAATTGTTGTATTCTGATTCGTATTCAATAAAAAGAATATATATCTATATATATATATATATATATATATATATATATATATATATAATATAATGAACGGTCGGTTACAAGCAGGGGGCCCGAGGCCCGTTAACCTCGTGACTACCCCGGGGCCCGTTAACACCCGAGATAGATAGCCCGCTATAGAAAGCCCAAAGTAAGCCCAATCTAAAGCCCAGCCCCATAAGCCCAAATCTACTTCCCAGGGGGTCACCCATCATTTCTGCTACTCCCATGGCAGCACGCTTAACTCTTTAAAATTCCTCCAAATTTGCATCTTTTGGGGATCGAACCCGGGTGGTGTGGTTCGCCAATCAACCCTGTGACCATCTCTACAGTGGGGACCACACACACAGATATATATATATATATATTTAACCCGAAGAAGATCCACCAAAATCGGTGGGGTAAGGTCCAAGCCGCCCTTACCAATTTTATTAGATAAAAAAATGAAAACACGTTCGAGGAGGACTAGACCGAGGCCTCGAAGGTAGGACAAGATACATGAAAAGGACAGTTACAACAAAAGTAAAAACTGGCACAAAATACAAAACTGTAGCCCAAGAGAGGACGGAAATCAATCTGTAGAACG